TGCGCGCCGTGTGTGCCGCGCGATTGTGTGTGTGTGTTTGGTGGTGTGTGTGTGTGTGTGTGTGCGCGTGGTCGCGAGGGTGGGGCGACCCATCCCCCGCGAATCAATCAATCAATCAATCAATCAAACAATCAACCAATCAAAAAAAAAAAAGCGAAATGGAATCAATCAATCAATCAATCAATCAATCAATCAATCAATCAATCAATCAATCAATCAATCAATCAATCAATCAATTAATCAATCAATCAATCAATCAATAAATGAAAGAAAAAAAAAAAAAAAAAAAAAACCGCATTTTTTTTCCCTATTTTCTTCGATTTCGCCCTTACCCCCCTAACCAAAAATTAGATTTTTTTCATTTTTTTTTGCCTGATGGGGTGGGGCTGGGGTTGCGCCGTCACGTGGCGCTTCCCGTTTCCCAAACCCCCTTCCCCAACGCCCGCCACGCGTCCGCGAAGACGCCCGTCCGCCGAACGTGTCCGCGGGGTCGCGGACTCGGCCGCGGCCGCGGACTTGGCCGCGCCTGTCCATCGTCGAGGGGGATTCATAGCTTCACAGACCGCCACAATCTTTCCTAGACTTCCTAACCTCTTTTACTCTTCTCTCAATGCCCACGCAGCTCTCCTCCAAGTCCTTCCATAAATGCAAAATTCTTCTCTTTCTTTAGGCAGATATATACCAACGTGATACACCTCTAAGTCATGAAACCAGACGGTCATAATATAGTATTGATTGCGTTCAATTCCACTGTTCTGCACTTGGTACTTAACTACCTGATACGGAAAGATTTCTCGTCCACCTAAAGTGCTTAATTCAGCAAGTACTTTCTCGTGTTCAAATTCGTAAGGACCACCCCAAACCCCGAATCTTCTTCTCTTCCTCGCTAGCTCTGAGTCGGGTAATGGCATCTCTCATCCATGAGGTATCTAACACTCCGCTGCGATTAGTGTGAGGGCTAGCAAGACTCTGTCAGTGGATTCCTCCAAAAACTTATAGAATGTCTCAAAATCGTCTATATCCCTTAAATCTTCAATATATGATAGAGTCTGAAGGTACTCATTTCAATACCGGTTGTGTGCCTGGAGTATTTTGAGAACCAAACTTTCCCCTATGATCTCCACCAGATCTCCATCTTCCTCTGCTTCATCCTCCAGGAGCCTCTTGGCCTCCCTAGAAGTCTCACACCATGCCTCTTTTAGAGGTGGCTCGTCAAAAGGGGTGACGCGCAGCGAATAGTTGATCAAGCACGCACTCTCTTCCCCTACCCAGAGTCCGGTCACCCGCGCCTTCCGTACAACTTATTGGGTGCACTCCGCCTCTTCTATCACAGATAGCTTCCCCCGATAGAGTAGTTGTATGACGACACAAGCGATTTGCTCAGTCAACCTTCCTGTTATACGCATATCACATTTTTCGTTACTCATCCTCTTCTATCTCCGTTCTGGCGTTCCCTCATTTTTCGCCTCCTTTTCCGATGCCCCTGCTTCAGACACCTCGTCTGTTCTTCCGGTCGTTTCGAGCGAGCCCTCTCGTTCCTGACTAATATGAACTCTCCCCTTCACACTTTCCAGAAAATCAAGCCTCCACCTCACAAAAAAATATCTATCGCCTCTCATAAGCCTTTGCAATGCCTTCGTTGCCGCTTCTATTTTACGCAACTCGCTTTCACTCTTATTCGGTACGCAATCCTGGATCTTGACGCCAAGCACTCTGACTAGTTTCACTACTGGTTTAATAATCCGTTCATCGACCGTCTTTTTCCTCTCTTCTAGATCCTCCATCACCTACAACCCATCTTTCTTATTCTCATGAACTTCCTATCACATATTGCTTCTAGCTTCCGAGGGTGTCTCGTCCCGAATTATCTCCAAGCGTACTCTTCCTTTAACGCATACGATCACTTCATATACTACCCAACTCTGCGTCGTCAATTCCCTCAAGGCACCAGGTCTCTGCTCTCCTATGACGTCTTTCGCAAGTTCTTTGAACTCGTTGTCTGACAATTTCACTTCTATGCACACCTTCAAGAGAATATGTAGAGTCATGCTGTCACACGCTAGCTGCCTAGAGACAACCCGAGCGTAGGGAAGGCGTCGTCGAAGGGAGGGACTCCTCGTCTCAATTTCCCGAGTAGCTACTCGGGGGTTCCTCTCACTCACGCTCCTCCAAGACTCGAACCCCCTGTGGTCCCACCGAAGTGAATACGAGGCTCGAGGTCTA